GGAACAGGATTTGTACAGGCGACAGCAGTAAGGTGGCCCCTTTGGCTAAAAAGCAAGACCCTAAAAAGGAATGCTCCTGCTCACCAAGGTGCAACTATAAGCCGGGAACCCAAAAGGCAGCCCAGGCCCATGAATGCTAAACCAAGGAGTCTGTGCTTCCTTTAGGTGGGAAGTTGCGAGCAGAGGAAGGACATGCCCATGGGGTGGCAAAGAGAATCCTGGGCTTGGGATCAGAAGGTCCTGGCTTTGAGTTCCACCTCTAACACTGAACAGATTGTGACACTGGGCAAATCACTTCATTTCCCTCCCCCCTCAGTTTCCTCATCTACAAAATGTGAAAAATGGAGATAATAAAGCACCTACTTCACACAGTTGTTACAAGGATCAGATAATATATACAAGGTGTCTGAAAAGTTTTAAACTTTAGTAGCTTCTAAATGCAGTAAGACTTTTGAGACATCTTATATGAAGGCTATAGAAATGTGACCCCTATCATTATTACATTATTATTATTCTTATGACCAAACCTATATATAAGGACTAAGTACAGCAATGTTTGAAAAAGGGGGGTGGAATGGGTTGCTAAATAAAGCAGGGGTTCCCAACCTGTGATATGAATATCACAAGGTGGTGTGTAAAGCTTGTCTAGGGGGCACAGAGAATATTTAGTAAATAACAATATTATTCTTTAAATTTAATCTTTTTTTATTTATGTCCATATGCATGGTAAATACTAGGATATATTTCCTTACATAAAAAATTGGGGATACAGAAAGGTTTAATAAAAGCCAAGAGATATGGGGACCAAAAAAAGGTCAGGAACCCCTATGAAACTATTTAATAACAATTACAATATTACAATATACTTCCCTCTTTTCAGCAGAGAGGGGAGGGATGATGAATATGCTATTAGGAAAATCACTTGTTATCAGTGGGGTTTGATTGTTTTTCTTTGTTATAGGCAAAGGCTCATGGGGAAATATATGTGGAATGACTGTGATATAAAAACAAAAGATGTTAATAAAATATTTTAAAATTAACAAAGCATCCCAGCAGATGGGGAGATAGAGATAGAGAGACACAGAGAGAGGAGATAAGAGACTAAGAAAACTAGAGGGGAAAGGGAAAGAATTGCCAAGAGTCCAGGCTGGTGGTTAAAAAAAAAAAAAAGCCCAATACTACAAGGCTGTAGAAGAGGGCAAAAGGGGGAGAGGGGGAGATGGAAACAAAAGTAACATTTTTCTTTCCTTCATTTTAAAAGGCCATGTTAGACTGCAAGGTCTGCCCCAGCTTTCTCCATCTGCTCTCTTGGCCCCAACAAAAGACACTGTTGCTAGAAATGATTGTGTTTATGTATCAGCTTGCACCTTAGCAAGCAGTTTCCCAAGATCCTCTGTAACTTTATAGCAATCAGACCCGTGGACAGAACCCTGCAGAGGAAAAGTATGTAATCCAAGCAGAGGGGTCTACATTTCTCCAGCTCTGCGGGGAAAAACCCAACATTAAATAAGAATATAATGTTAAGAATTTCAACAGGCAAACATAGTACCGAGTATTTCAGTAAGGCAAGTTTATTTATTTCCTACAGTTGAGTTAAATATACAAGGCCACCAGTGACAGCCTCAAACTAAATTAAACAGCTAGAGATAAAAGAAAAGGCTAAACTTCATTTCCTGGAGGGAAAGTGGAGGGAAGGGGGATTAAAAAATAAAGAAGGTCTTGCATGAGGAATTCCTCAGAGTGCAGCAAACTATAGCCCAGGCATTGTACCTCCAGATTGCTAATCTCAGCTCTGTCATCAAGCCAGAGCAAAAACCAGGAGGCTAAGCAATGAATGCTCAGTCCCTCCAGTTCTCTGGGATGAGAAGGGAGTCCCACACTGAACAGCTGAGGGGAGGAGAAAAAGGGCTGGAGTTGGAGCATGTGGACAAACTCCAGCTGGACTATGGCTCAGACATTAACTAGCTGTGTAGAGAGGCAAATCACTTCATCTCAAAACCTTTATTTCTTAAAGATGGAGATTAATAACACCTCCTGAAGTGACTGTGAGGATGTGTGTAGATAATGTATGTAGAAGCACTTTGCAGACTCAGCCCCGAAAAGGTATGGTGGCTGGTCCTGGGTACACAGTTAATGTGGCAGAATTTGAACCCAGATCTTCCTGACTCCAAGCCCAGCATTCTATGCTGTTGATAACTAGGTACAGTTTTCTTGTCAATAGCAGGAGTGAACTGGAAGAAAAGCAGGCCATCAGCCATTCAAAGTTTATTTAGACCCATCTGGGTTGGCTTCACCTGGCCAAGACTTGGTAGTTCCTAAATCATCAAGCTGCACAACACAACTCCTATGAAGGAGACCCTTTCCTGTCCCCCAGGCTTTCCATGTCCTAGAAAGGCAGATCCTTCCTGGTGCAGAACAGCAGACCCCAAACAAAGGCTCAGTGATTACTCTGATAGATTAAGTAACAAACAGACACAGGCTCCAAGAGAGAGTACATTTCAGGCCACAGCCACACAGCACCTTGCTAAAATGCAGCCACACAGTAGTACCCAGATCCGTCAGAGCTTGCCGGCAGACCTGCCCAAGTCATTTGCTTCCTAAAGTTTTCAGGTTTGGTTTTTACCTACCCCAAAACAATCACAGAAACAAACAGACAGACAGAGACAAAGACACAGTCAGACTGAAAGACACAGACTGAGAGACAGAGTGTTAGGGAAATATTCTTAATTTCTTAAGACACCTCTCATTCCGATCATACCCTAGGCCAAAGCTATTATTTAAATGTGACAAAAGAGTAGTGATGTTTTTGGACTGAACAAAACTGTGCAGTCATCAAAAAAAAAAGATGGGTCTATAGCCAGTATAACCCATAAAGGATTAGTAATATTTGCTAGTAATGATAGGTCAGACTGAGAGCAATGAAGTGACTATGATACTGAAACAGACTGTCCATGCTTACTAATAGTTAGAAAGTAATAATTCATTCTTCAGCCTACATCTTTTCATCTAAGAAGCCCAACATACCTTGACATCAATTCTCACTAATGCTACTGATCCTGTCCAGAAGAGGAAAGAGCCAACTGCCAAGAATTGGACACATGAGAAACCTGAGGAAAGGACATAAAACTACATCAAGGCTTACTTCGGGTCTGCCTAACAAACGACAGTCCCGGAGAGACGCTACCTCAGAGTGGCTAACTAGGGGTATTGAAAGAACTCTTCTCTCTCCTATTATGTACACAAGCCTGAAGAACCTCTCCCCCAAAGGAGGGCTGTTATTTCTGAATAATTATTAGGCAATTTTCATGAAGCAATGAGTAAGGAATGTAGTGCACAACCATGACACACTTCAGTTTTGCGTCTTCTGCTTACAAACAATCCCAGCCTTCCAGCTTGGAGGCCCTAGAAAAGTCATTACTTAGAGGAGAGCGAAATGAATGAAGAGATCACAAAAGAGAAGAGCAGCTGCGGGCAGAGGCTTTACCCTGGGAAGAGAAAAGGGTTCCCCTTGGATGAAAACAGAGGAAAAGAAGGTAGAGTAGAAAGGGGCACTGATCAGTTTTTCCACCAGGAGACCTGAGATGACGATCCACTTTTGACACTTATTAGAAATATGACCATGAGCAAGTCCCTTCACCTCTACAAGCCTCAGTTTCCTCCTCCATTAAATGGGAACAATAAGGCTTGCACTTCACAAGGTTATTATGAGAAAAGTGCTTTAAACCTCATGGAAATGTGATTATTCTTCCAACACCAAAGACTAAACATACATAGGAAGGGGACAGAACCACAGCTGGGAAGGGGGAATGAGAGCTGGGATATTCCTGGGGAGAAAAGGAAATCAAGAGATCTACACACCTAGAAAGAACAGCAGATTCCTGAAGGACAGTAGAAAGGAAAACAGAAAAGGAAAAAGAAGAGAAGGGGGACAAAAGGAGTCAGGTAACAAACTGTGCTAAGCACTGGAGATACAAAGAAAGATAAAAAGACAGTTTTTGCTCACCAGGAGGAAGAAGGAAAGAGAGGGAAGAAAGGCAAGAAAGAGAAGGGTCAAAGGAAGTGAGGAAGGAAAGAGACAAGGGGAAGAAAAAGGGGGAAGAGAGGGTAAGAGACAAGGGAAAGAGAGGGGGGAAGGAGAAGAAAAAAGGAAAAGAGGGAAAAGGGAGAGGAAGAGGGGAAGCGAATAAGCATTTAAGACCTTACTAGGTGTCTAGCCTGGTGAAAAGCTCTTTACAAATATTTTCTCATTTGATCCTCACAAAAAACCCCAAGGGTGGGAAAGAGAGTGAAGATAAGAGGAGGGGGAGGAGTGAAGAGAAAAGAAAGGGGAGGGGGAATAAGAGAGAGGGAAGAGGTGGAAGGGATAGAAAAGAGACAAAGAGGGAGAGGGAGAAAGAGATGAAAAGAAAAAGGAACGGGGAGTGAGAGAAGAAAGGGAGAGACAGGATAAAAAGAGAAGGGGAAGAGAGGAAGGGGGAAAGAATTATGGGAGAGAGAAAAGAGGAGAAGAAAAAAAGATGAAAAGGGAAAGGGAAGAAGAGAGGAAGACGGGATAGAGTAGGGAGAAAGGGGGAGAAGGAAAAAAGGGATGAAAAGAAAAGGGGAAAGGGGAGTTAGAAAAAGGGGAGAGGAGGAGGTGGAGAAGAGATGAAAAGAAAAGGGAAAGAGGGACAGAGGGAGTGGAGGGGGGAGGGGAGAAAGGGGAGAAGGAGAAAGATGAAAAGACAGGGGAAAGGGGTGTGAGAGAGAAAGGAAAAGGGGAAGGGGAGAAGGGATAAAAAGGGAAGGGGAAGGGGGAGAGAAAGAAGGGGAAGGGGGAAAGTAGGGGGAGGGGCAGAAGGATAAGAGCGAGAGGAGATGACTGGGGGAGGGGAGAGAACAGACTCTTCCGCCCCTCCCCCCGCCCTCCCGGTGGGGGAGGGGGTCTCGCGGCCGGGGAAGGGGGAGGGGCGCGCGGTGCTTTGTGGGCGGGCGGGGGTCGCGGGGGTCGCGGCGCTCACCTCCGGGATGTCATGTTCCTCCCGCTCCCGGGCTCCTCCTCGGATCCGCTTCCTCAGGGGCCGGGCCGGGCCGGGCCGGGCCGAGGGTTAGCGCGGAGCCCGCGGCGCTCCGGCCGCCATCCAGGCCTCGGGATCCCGGAGACGAGAGTCGAGCCGCCCCCCCACCCCCCAAGCGCCTCCGCTGCGCTCCGCTCCCCCGCGCCTCCGCCCCCGCCCCTCGCCGCCCGGCACCGCGACAGTGACGCCATCGGCCTGCGACGCCAACTTCCCGCCAGGCCGCCGGTCGGCCCAAAAAGCCTACCGCCGGCCACGCGCGCCGCGCACTTCCGGCTTCCCCCTGGGCAGGCAACTGCGCCCCGCGCCGGGGGTTCCGCCGGCCCGCCCGGGCCCCCCCGGCCACCCCGAAACGAGCGGCCGCGAGGGGGCGCGAATGCACAAGGAGTACGCGGCCGCCTGCAGAGGGTTCCAGTAATGCCAGGTGGGCGAGCCTGGATCCAGCGCCTTCCGCGTGCCAGGCACTGGGCTGGTGCTGCTCGCCAAGGGCAGATGGGAAGCTTACGGGCAGCACACCGCTTGGCCCCAGTAGTGGAGTGCAAGCTCCTTCTGTAGGCCGGGCCCAGGGGAGGTGGCTTCTCCGCGCCTTGTTTCTGCCTTTCACGTAGTAGGCAGCTTGACAGCAGAAGTGGGCCTGGAAGCTGGAAGGTCAGAGTTCAGATGCAGCCTCAGACCCTTGGCGAGGCATTGAACCCCTGCCTCGGCTTCCTCATCTGCAAAATGGGGGAACTAAAGCACAACTCTGATCATGTCACACATACCCCTTACCCAATAAATTCCAGTGGCAACCTTTTACCTGCAGGAGCCAATACAAAATCCTCTGAATTTTTTTTTGTTGGCTTGTTAAAGTCTAAATATCTGTTGTAAGATTTTACCCCTTGCTTTCTATGTTTATTTGATTGCTTTTACGATAGTGGTAAAATTATAATTCTATTAAGAATGTAAATATAATTTCAATTGCTTATAATTTTTTTAAAAAATAAATTATACCAATAGTTTAAAAAAAATCCTCTGTTTGTCAATCAAAGATTTTCATAACCCAGTCCACTCCCGTCTTTCCAGTCTTCTTACACCTTACTGCCCAACCTGGCCTCTTTGATACAGTGACACAGATTTCTTGGCCGTTCCAAGAACCAAATACTCCATCTCTCAGCTCAGGGCATTCTCTCTGGCTGTTCCTCCATGCCTGGAACGCTCTCCTTGCTCCTCTCCTACTGCTGTACTGTCTGGCTTCCTTTAAGGACCAACTGAATTCCCACCTCCTACGGGAAGACTTCCCCAGCCCCTCTTAATTCTAGTGCCTTCCCTCTGTTAATTATTCCCTGTTTATGCTGTATATTGTCTTCCCCATTAGATTGTAAGTCCCTTGAGGTTGGGCACTGTATTTTGCCTGCCTTTGTTTTCCTGGTGCTTGTCCCATAGTAGGTGCTTGATAAATGTTTATTGAATTGAATTGAACCTACCTCCCAAAAATGCTATGAGGATAAAATGAAGTAATATTTGTGAAGTTATTTGCAAATCCTAAAGTGCTGTATTTATCCAGCTGATAGTCTCTGCCCTAAGGCTCCTCCCAGCTCTGACTTTCTCTGTCCTTAAGGACCCTCCCAGCTTTGACCTTCTATTAAAATGGAGATAACCACCAGAATAAAGGATTTCTAAGATCAAAAAATAGCCATCTTGATGTTAGAACTCAAGCAAAGCCAAAAATGCCTGTTTGAAAAATCATCAGTCCTCCCGCAAACACCAGGTTTTTATGTGAGAGGTATAGAAATATTAGGTTAACCTGTTACTTATGTCAAGATATGGGATTTCTTAAGTTTCCTATTTCTTAAACTCTTTGGCAAAATGGAAAGAGCCCTGGGTCTGTAGTCAGGAAGATCTGAGTTCAAATACTGCCCCAGACATGTGGCAGCTGTGTGATCCTAGACAAGTCACTGAAGCCTCAGCTTCTCCCACTGTAAAATGGGCATAATGATAGGACCTATCTCCTGGCCTCTATCTACCTTTATCTGCCTCAGTTTCCTCAACTGTAAAATGAAGATATTAATAGCACCTACCTCCTAGGACTGCTGTGAGGATCAAATGAGATAACATGTGTTAACATAAATAAATAAATAAATAAACAAACAAACAAACAAACAAACAAATAAATAAATAAATAAGTGCTTAGCATGGCATCTGGCACAAGTTGCTTGGTCAATTAGTCATGTCCAGCTCTTTGTGACTCCATCTGAGGTTTTCTTGGCAGACATACTGGAGTGGTTTGCCATTTCCTTCTCTAGCTGATTTTACAGATGAGGAAACTGAGTCAAACAAGGTTAAGTGATTTGCCCAGGATCACACAGCTAGTAAGTATCTAAGGCTTGATTTGAACTCAGGTCCTCCTGACTCCAGGACTGGCATTCTATCCACTGTGCCACCTTGCTACCCACCTGACATATAGTAGGCACTACAGAAGTGCTTATTTCCTTACTTTCCTTTCAATATTCTTTGAGCACTGAATAATGGTAATAAGATAAGACGTACATAGTAATTTAAAGCTTATGATGCACTTTGTGTATATGACCTTCAAGACAACTCTGTGAGGAAGGAGCTATTATTATACCCATTTTACAGACTTGGAAAGCACAGCTGAGACTTGACAGCTACTTAATCTAATTTGGAATTCAAACTCAAGTCTCCCTGACTCCAAGCTTGGCTCTCTCTGCACCTCAGCCAAGTCTACTATCCCATGAATGGGTAGACTCTTAGTTTTATTTCCAATCAGATGCTACAGAACTTCTTTGAAGAATTAAATGGTTACAAAGTATTTCATCCCCTAGTAATCACTGGAACAAAAGATTTCTAAGACCAAAAAATGGAGGCTCCATGAAACAGAGGGGAAATGTTTCATCTAGTCTGGAGTCAGAGGACCTGATTTTGAATCTTGGCTGCTACTTAAAATCCGTGGGAGTTTAGACCAGGTCTGCACAACATTTGACCAGAGGGACACTTTGTTGGACCACAAGCGGTCCCCAGGTAGTCTGTTGTGCAGGGCTGCTTTCTACAAATCATTTCTCCCTCTGTGGGGCTCAGTTTCCTCACTTGTGAATGGGGGTGGTAGGTGTTCTAGATCAGGACTTCTTAAGCTTTTTCCACTCGTGACCCCTTTTGGGGTTTTGGCAATGTTCTTGCCTTTCATTCAAAGTGCAGAGTACGCATGCTTTGTGTTCAGAACCAAGGCTGTACTGAAGTTGCAGATGCCACACGGGCAAGCGCTGCCAGAAACACCTCAGATCCATTATGCATTTGATTTTGAATTAATTTTGGGTTGTTATGTGTTCCGAAACCTTTTACTGTTGCCAAAATTTTCAAGACCCCATATGGGTTTAAGAAGTTTAAAAAGCATTGCTCTAGATGACCCTCCCAGATCTAAATCTAGGGTCCTGTGTTATAAAATCCCTTCCAGCTCTGAAGTTCTCTGGTTCTGTAGAGGCAGATATCCCCAGACACCATGAAGTTATATTGAAAATTTCAAAAATGGCAGAGGGAAAGAGGAAGAGTCCTCTAGGGTCCCTCGAGAACAGGAGCAGAGTCTGAAATAAGTAAGCTCCCTCACCTTCAGATAAACTGCCAGTGAGTTAGAGGGGTATCCTCCCCAATCACGTGAAGACTACCCAGAGGAATGGGCAGATGGGAATAATTTGTTCCAATGGCCATGACGGTTGCTGAAGCAGCACTATGGAGCACTTCAAGCTTGGTCAAATATCAAAGAGGCCAAGATCATCCACTGCATGCCGGGCCATCCCCAGTCATCCCAACTTGCGTCTTGACGTCAATGACGCTGGCAGAGAGAGTGAGGTTGACAACTTTGTGCAACTCTGCCTGACTTAGATCCAATTTACAAGCAAGTCAAGCCATTACCCATCAAAGTCTGTGATGTCATTGGTCCTTTTCAAAAAAAAATGAAGGGCCAACAACAAGCTTTGCTCATGTATGCAAAGGTAACCTGGTGTAATGACTAAGAGTACTAGACCTGCACCTACCACCCAGTATCATTGTGAGGATAAAATGAGATACTATTGGTATAGTACTTTGCAAACCACAAAGCGTTATATAAATGAGAGCTGTTTGGTTATTTCTATATAAATACCCAAGTTACCTACATAGTAGCTATATGATCATGCATAAGTCACTCTCCCCTCTCATAACTTCAGTTTCTTCATCTGTAAATTCAGGCTAAAAATAATTGTCCTCTTTGTTATGAGATGAGCGCTATGCAAGTGCTATGTATGAGTATGAGGGTTCCTTTTTAAATTTATTTTTATTTTAGATAGGCCCTGTGGTTTCACTGGTATAAGGAACTCCCAGGAAATTCTGTCTCCCAATGCAGGTCTAGGTGAAGTGACTTGCCTAGAGGCTCCCAGCCAGTATGTGTCCAAAATAGGACTTGAACACAAGTCTTCCTGGGCTCTCTAGCCATCATGCCACACTCTCTCATATTTATATTTTTAATATTTAATTTAATATTTAAATATGTGTTATATATTTATAGTCAATAAAATGAAGATACTAGACTAGATAACCCCTAAAGTCCCTCGTTTCTCATTTGTTCTGAGGTTCCATCCATTTCTGACCTTCTGTGATTGTAGATAGCTACATCGTTCTTACATTGTGTCCTACTCTTAGTTAGCTAAGGCATCTCTCTTAAGGCTAGTTTCAGAGAAAGTACGGACCTGTATTGGCAAGGAGTTTCCTTATCCAGGAATTCCCTCTGTCAATGAAATCACAGGTCCACTGGTGCATAGCCTATACTTCAGGCACTGTACTAGGTACTTGGGACACAAAGACCCTGCATTTAAGTTCATGGCATTGACAGGATGAAAGACCTGTCAGTCAAACCAAAACTACCAGGGCCGGTAGTCAGATACCTTCATTTTACAGGCGGGGAAGTGAATGTCCAGAGTGGACAAAGGACACCGAAAGATGGAAAGGGAGTCAGTAGTAGCAGAGTTCTAATTGAAAACAGTCCCTCCGGCTGCACATCCAGAGCTGTTTGCACTAGACTGTAGCTGCCTAACATTGGGGGGCGACTTGGTGTTCTATTCCCTGGTTCCTCTAGTGTGTTTGCTTCCTTGTAGTCAGGA